CAAATTACGACTGTTCCTATCATCAACTGTACATTTCTAGGTCCTGCTCGCTTTCTGGGTGGTGCGCATTATGGCTAGTTTCTATAGTTAGATCCTGTTGAATTGCCCGTCTCACCTTGGTGAGACCCCAGACTTTTGGGAGCGAAACTCCTGGATAGCCCTGTGAAACGAAAAAAATCAAGACGAACATTTCTTTTTAGTTCGGGAGAGTCGCACTTTAGCACTGTGTGATTAAGCGAACGTTCAGTTTCCTGACAAACCTTTCCTGCTCTTCTTTCTTGTCGATTTTCATCGATGTCATTTTATATTCAACCTAAGTGCATACCGAACTTCTTCTACATTGATTGCCTTTAGTGGAATGGGCCCAGACTTCCGAATTCTTGTCAAACGAGCTCGAAAGATAGCCATGGAATATGAAATGATGTATGGAGAAGAAATTCCCACAACTCAACTGGTTACACAGATTGCAGCTGTCATGCAGGAATATACACAGTCAGGGTAAGAACGAGGTTCCACTTAATGAAAGGCAGGTTATAGGGTAGGGTATAGCGGCCATATCTTTTGTGTTTTAGTGGTGTTCGCCCGTTCGGCGTGTCTTTGTTGATCGCTGGCTGGGATAAGACCCCTGGTCGACCACTCTTGTTCCAGAGTGATCCATCCGTGAGCATTTTAAATAGTTTCGTTCAAAAATTTCGTTCTCTTTTTCTATTATTCCAGTTTATAAGAATTGACCGGATTTCAACGGTTCCGCCTTTCAGGGTGCATACTTTGCTTGGAAAGCGACAGCTCTCGGTAAAAATGACGTGAACGCGAAGACGTTTTTGGAGAAGAGGTACAGTGAGGCTTTAGAGCTTGATGACGGTATCCATACCGCGCTACTTACCCTACGGGAATCTTTCGACGTTGGCATGACGGAGGATAACGTTGAGGTAAAGTCAAGCTTCTTAGGAATATGTTCCAATTTTTTATAACTTGCTCGTACTTTTATTCAGTGCGTACGCTATGTTTATTCGATTTTCATTTACCTTGGTTAGGACATATTCACATTGTTCCTATACATGGCTAAGCTCATTTCCGCGAGGGTGTCGTATTTGGTCGATAAGAAGAACGGGGTCATGTTGGCCTTAAGAGGAAAATGTTCTCGGTTATTTACGTTTTCCTGTTTTACAGGCGCTATGCGTTGTGTTCCTTCTCCGAAAGACGGCGATTTGGGGGTTGGGGAGGGGGAATACCCTCAAAAAACGTGATAGTGTTGGAATTTGGGATGATGATAGGTAGGATGATGAGGGTGGAGCTCGTTTTGGGCTATTTTTCCCTAACACAGTCTCTGTCCCGCCTTCAATTTGGTGCGGTCGGGTCCGTTCCCTCTGGACAACGGTTTGGATGGAAGTAGGGATGGATGACTCGAGGGCAGAAAAAGGCGGTACATCAAGAAAGTACCGATTCACAGTTTACCACATTATCGATTTCCTCGGGTTCCATGAGAAAAAATATAAGCAAACAATTTGGTAAATGTTTTCACTTTGCGTTTCGTTTGGCAGCTAGCTAGTTTGCAATGCGAGAGAAGGTTTCAACGAGTCTTCACAAGAACAACAGGTCAAGCGATCACCTTGGAGCCGCCTATGATGCGTAATATGCCTAGCGCGATCCCGCGGCTTTTCGATGGATGTTTGTTTCCAAGGATAACGAGTACTCCTAAAAGCTTATTGTTTTCCTGTTTGTATTTCAATTGAACTTTTACTCGTACTTGTTGTTTTCGTTAGAGTAAACCTTTGTGCCCTAAGGTAAGAAAACTTTTTACAATGTCGATAAGTAATTCAATAATATTCTTAAATAAAATTTATTACTTGAAACTGTCCGTCAAGTGCAGAATATTTGGTTTGCGCCTCCGACTATTGTTCGTACTTCACTCTAGGACTGGTTTCGGCATGGGACTTGAGTTACTACTAAGATGTGTTTCATCTTCCAGATGGCTTCGTGCTGTCCGTGCGCGAGCATCGAGAATGGCTGCCAAACCGAGGTCCATCATATATTTCCGGTTATCAGATCAATTATATTATGAAAACTGAAAATTTTACTCTAACTGGAGCAGATGTTTAAAGGCTAGCGGCATTTTATTTGCCGGAAGACGAATTATTTTTAAGATTTGCTTGATTTCCTGAAAGTGCTTCTAATGTAGAATTTTGAAGGTATGACTGGTTCCAAACGGATTCTTGCATAACAGTAACCATATTGAAAAAAGGAGTGGCCTTAAGTGATTGCCGGTAATAATTCCTAAATGGTTTTGAAATCGATTTGCTACCTCCGCGTTCATACTTCGCGACAGCGGATAATAGGAGAATGTCGTCAAAGGGAAGTATAGATATCGATGTATCGACTTCTGGGAATGGGAAGAATACCCCCATCGGGGAAAATACGCCTCAAAAGAGTAGTGTTCGTTCCTTGGCAGAACTGGCAAGTGAAAATCTATTGATCTCCACCTACTCTTCTTGTCGCGCAATCTCGCAATGCGCACCTCTGGTTTTGCCATTTCGACAGATCTATGCTTATGCTACCCTTTAGCGGGAATCTCGTACTCTCCAATTCTCCAGTTTCGCTGAGTATGAGCACGGCATAACGATGAGCAAATGAGACACGGTAGCTTGTTCTTTAGAGTCGCTTTCCATGACAACGAAATCAAAGTCTTTGTTGGAAATGATGTTATTTTTGAGACCACTCTTGCAAGACCAGTAGATGAGAAGAATTTCACCGTTACCTGCACGCCATCCAAGGTAAGATATGTGATTAAAGTATCATTTGGGAGAAATGGGGCGCCAGTTCAACAGATTATGTTTTTGATGCAGAGCACCCGAACCACAACACAGGGCACCATGGGATCTGGGTTCCGCCTCAAAATAAGAAGGAAAGAGATCAGAATAGGTGAACCACTTCCTTTTTACATTAGGGTTTTTGGAACCGAAAAGCTCCACCCTGCTGGAATAGCCCTGAATGGTGGTAACACCTTGAGGTGCCTAGGTAAGATTGTGGTGTCTGTCCGTGGATGTCCGGTTGTCTGGATGAGAAGGGACGGGATGAGGCTATTTATACCGTGACACCTACATAATGGCTGCGTGAGATGTGTGCGCTCCAATGGCCGAGTGGATAGCTAATTAGCCTCCCGTTAGTGGCACGCTGGCTCGGTTCTCTTGGAAGTGATGACCTCAAAAGGCCGAGTGATAGCGTGCATAAGTGAACCCCTTGAGGGCGCTGTGTACGCAGTGCCTAGAACAACCGCGATAATGCTGATCCTGTAGAACCGATGCCAGCGTAATACTGCCAGTCTTTTCATTAGTCCTTCGGGTGATGGGGTCACTTTATGAAGGATAATATACTATTCTCAGGATTGTTTTGTTTTCAGGTTGAAGTTAGAATGCCTAAAGCTACGCCAGGGCATTGGCCAATGCTTGATGCCTCGCCTGCTGTACCAGTTTCAAGTGAGCCCCATCCGTCGAAAAACTGGGAGGCTATTGAAAGGGTAGGCACAATCAATCAATAATCAAAATAAATTGAAAGATATTCCTCATTGAAATGATTTCCCTGATAATTAGTTAAGTCCTCAGGATTTGATCAACGTTGAAAGCCTCGTACCAGTGATGGGGCAGTACAAGGTTGATAAATAAGCTCCCGCCGTCTTTTAGTTAATTTTTCCCAGCGGGAACTTATTCCCAACCCTTTTCGAGGTGGAGATGGTGTAGTGGCAAATGGCACGCTTACCACGCGCACGGTCCGGGGATCAGATATTGGACCGGCTCCCGCCCCGCCAACCAAGCCTTCTACCCTCCGGGGACGGTAAATTGGTTCTAGATTCGTCGTCTGTGAGGATATAAACACTGACATCAATAC